TTTATTCTTGGGTTTAATCTCTCGCTGAAATTGACAGCAGAGGAAGAGGCCTGTCATCCATGATAGCTCAACAGCATCTTGGGGGTGAATCCTTTAAATCTGCCACTTTCCCTGGGCTTAGCCCTGCGATAACCTCTCTCAGAGTACACACGCAAAGCCGGTTTCAACTGCCAACTAAATTTCCACAGGCTTTGATAGCAAATGTAAACCTGGCTTAGGCATTTTTGGGATTTAATATAATATTTCCTAAAATTAGCAGCCTAGGTTAGCAACTAGCATGAGTCGTTTTTACCTTCACGTCTTCGCACCACACTTCAGTGATCTTCCACTGTGGCATCAGCTGCTGGAGCTAATGAAACGTCAGTCTGATAATTGAGGCAGTGCTGGTCAAAGGGATGGAGCAGAATAACTACTCTCCGTCTTGCTCACAGCCATCTGGTTCATTGGCTTTGCTGCTAGATGGGACAGAAACAGCTTTCTCTCAATGCACTAAACAATGTTTTACTTAACAGTGTGAGTAAAAGCTTGTCAATGTCACTTCAAAAGCATTTCCTTTATTCTGTTAATACTTTCTAAAGGATAAGGATCTTGCTACATATATTCATTAGATGTGCCCATAATTATTTTCATGTTATGACCGATATTAAAAGTATATATAAATAAAAATTTAAAAAATATCTAAAATGATTTTCAATGCTATGAGTAAATTTAGGCATAACACATTATAATGTACAGTATAAAAAAATGAGCAAAACTAAATAACCAATTGATATTTTATATAAATAAAATACTTAATATAAATATATGTGATAAAGTATGCATCCCTAATATATATTATACAATATATAGACTACCATTGATAAGTTTGCCGTAAGAAAGTATTTTTGTAATGTTGTTGAAAGATGTCTCTTATGTTCACCAAGTTGCATCTATTTTATCCAAAACTCAGTAAAACCGTAATATTGTGAGATATTATTACAATTTAAAGTAACTTTTTTTTCTATTTTAATATATTTTAAAATGTAATGTATTCCAGTGATGGCAAAGCTGAATTTTCTGCAGCTATTACTCCAGTCCTCAGTGTTACATGATTCTTCAGAAATCATTAATATACTGATTTGGCGCTCAAGAAACATTTCTTATTATTAGAAACCTTTTATAACATTATAAATGTCATACTGTAACTTTTGATCAATTTAATGCATCCTTGCTGAATTTAAGTATTAATTTCTTTAAAAAAAAAAGAAAGAAAAAGAAAAACCCTAACCACACACTTGCCATTATAATACAATTAAAAAGTTAACAAGCTGCATTCAGTAAATCACAAATGTAAATGTTTCTGCAGTATATTCTAGAAAAGTGCATTATGTCTGTCCAGTTACGTTTCCCCCTCTTACCAAGGTGTCCTACTGAGTGAACAATGAGTTTCACACAAAGTGTCCCCATTTAACAACCTTTTCTAACCATCTTAAGGGCATGGATAATGAAACATTGTCCAAAGCAGTCTGGGGTGGTTAAAACTGGCCGTGAGCATAAGTACTAATGGGTGACTGGGACAGTGTAACCTCATCTAATAGGTAAAGGAAGTTGAAATGAGCTACACTGACCTTTCCCTGCAGGTGTCCACTATTGATTCTCAAATCTGAAATCAGCAAACTCCACTGTAACTCAAATAAAGAATTTCATCGTCTTTCTTGGAAATTAATTCACCTATGTTGATATTACAAAAAAAAGAAAAAATCATCAGACAATACGTTTTTTTCTAGAGTTTCACCCTTTCAGAACATTTATTGTGAAGTTCAATGAAAGCTCATTATCATCATCTGACTGTGATGGAGATCTATGCATTTTGATAGAGTGATGAAAACTGTATGAAGCCTCGCTCCCTCGATGACAGACCTCAAGTCGTCTTTTTCTTGACTAACTCTTCTCCATCATATCCCTACCGCATCTGCTTCTAGGCGTGCTCTCAGACAATGACGTATAGCCACAATTAGCCCTGGAAAGACTTCAATTATGATAAAAACCCTTCACCCCTCTTAGGCCATGATTAAAAAGCTCTCCTCCACTCCAGTGCCTCTGATAAAGAGCTGTCGTTTCACACCATCACATCTTCGTCGGGATAATAAACCACTCCGCCAGGGTTCTGCCCGATGCCTTTTACCTCTCCATCCCCTTACGTCTGGTGTCCCACTGAGGAGGAATGCTCACTCATTTACATTTTCACATGGGTAGCAATGCAATGACCCTGTTTGGGCTTCCAAAGTCACATCAACATGAATGCAAGCCATTCACCCTGCATTCAAGATAAAAATAAACATGAAAAGCATAAGAGGAAAGACATGAGACTGCTCACATGACCTTCATCCTCATCTGAGAATGACACAGATGCCCATTCAGAATTTTGGAATGAGATTTGCTTAGCAACACGTTTGATAAATGGATTTGCTGTAATGAGATGGAGCCATCACAAAGTCATGAAAAGAAACATAGAGGAAGAGAGAGAGGGGAAAAGAAGGATCGTCTTTCGGCTGTGTTCTGTCAAGGGAGAAATTACACACTTACTGATTTTTTTCCCCCCAAGGTGGCCACCATAGATCATACGTCGGGATTTACGAGCCAATTTCCAACATGAAATATAGACACCAAGAATCAATTTTACCACAGTTTTTCACTTTTCCTTCTTTCAACAGATCACAGCTGCTAGCTTTCCGCAGGTTCCATCAAAAACCACTTTATTATCTAAAGTCAGACAAGAAAGATAAAGAGGATTAATTATTTTCCAGTGGACACTACCACTTACCTCATATTTAAAACAATGTTAAGGGAGCTTGTAAAATAATTAAAACTTGCTGAAACTAATTACTTACTCTCTTTCTGTGCAATAGCAACCCGCAAAGCCTGATGCTGTGGTTTCTTTAGAAGCCATTTTCTTTGGTGGAGAAAAATATACGGTCTGATTTTTTTTCCATAATGACTTATTGTGTATAGAATTTATGTATTAAAATTGCACACTGATAATATTGAGTAACAGCCATTATAGTTTGTGTGACATTGCGTAAATTCATAACGTGTGTCTCACAACGAGAACTATATGAGAACAAGTCCACACCATACAACGATAATGACACACAGGAACGATATAGGCCTAGTTCAGTTGGAATCACTTTCAGAATGCGATAAAACACTGACAGTCAATCAGAATCCAGATTTCAAAGAGCCTGGCCATTTAAAACGGCAAACGACAGAACTAGAGTAACTACACATCATCAATTGTTGTGGACGCTAATATAGTTATCAACAGTGTTGGGGGTAATATATTACAAGTAACGCAAGTTACATAATCAGGTTACTTTTTTCAAGTAACTAGTAATGTAACACATTACTTTTTAATTTACAAGAGAATATCTGAGTTACTTTTTCAGATAAGTAACGCAAGTTACATTTTTTCCAATTGATTGATTGACAGCTCTCCTGTCCCCATGTTGAGAGAAATCAGAAGATGTTACTGTAGTTCTAAAATAAATATGAATATGCATTAATTCATCTCACTCACACACAAAAAAACAGATTCAGTATTCCTCAAAATGAATAAAAATAATGCAACTCAGAATATGACGCAAACCTGCAATAATTAAATGTTAAACAACACAAATATCCTTTATGTATTTAATCCCATTCTATTAACCAGTGTCTTTGCTTCTGACCTTCGATGATCCAGTTCAACCATACTAATCAGCAAAAATGACTCTAGACAAACATTTGTGTTTTTTTACTGCTGAAGTGTGTTGAAATTTCTTCTTCTGCATTCTACTGTACGGACGTAAATTTACTTTCCCTTCAGCCTGAGGCTTATTCATTTCACTTTTGGTGTGAAAAGGCTTTTATATTTGCCAAAAATATAACTTTTTTATTTTAAAAACAAACAAGCAAGCCCTGTCCAGATTTTAAAAGTAGCGCAAAAGTAACGTAACCCATTACTTTCCATAAAAAGTAACGCAATTAGTTACTTTTTTATGGAGTAACGCAATATTGTAATGCATTACTTTTAAAAATAACTTTCCCCAACACTGGTTATCAAAGAGAACTATGCTTACCATTGTTGGTGAGAACGGGCCTTCTGAAAGCCAAAATCATTTTGCAAGTGATTCCAACAAAATCGTTTCTCTGTGGACTTCCGTGGCCTGATTTATAGAATTAGGCTATATAGAATTGTTAAAGCTTTTTAGTTATAGTTGTCGTTATAGCTGTGGTCTAAACTTGTTCATTTTCAGAATCATATTAGCTTTATAGTTATTGTCCTTAGTGTTGTTTTTTTTAACTCAAATTGTATATACATTATAATAAAATATATTTTCAACTACAGATAAACAAGGTGTTTCCTTCTAAATTAAAATAAATTTGTCCTAGAAAATATAGGCTACTTTAATAGCAAACCTTTAGGAAACATTTAAGTCAGAAGGTCTTCTGTTACGCTACTGCCTCAGTTGAGAGGCTCACTACCGCTCTTTACCGTCTCCAGTAAATTTATCACGGGTTATGCGGAGTTGACATGTAAATTATAAATGTTTCCTGTCATGTTCAATACTGTAATGAATTTACTGGAGATGTCTTTATCGCGACGAATTCATGAAGTGGCGATGACGAGCGGCAGAGCTCGCGCCGTTCACGTTATTGATGCGCGCGCTTGACAGCTAATTTAAAACGCACCGAGCGCCTCACAAATGCGGAGCGAAATACACGGATGTCACGGAACAAATCAACGCATGGGTGTGTTTAGTTAACGCTTTCAGCTTCAATATCAAATGATGGTGAAATTTTTACCTTGCCTTTTAGTGTTTTTACAACTACATTTTTTAAATTCTAAACCAGTCCATAACCGAAACAGCATCATATTACAGCACTGAATCATCACAGGATATTTATATTCTACCTCCTTGATGATAACCAGTGATAGGATACACAATATTCATTTTTTCCTTGCATTAAACTTTAGAAAATTAACAAGCGACGCGAAAAAACATTTATTAAACACAAGGACATTTAACAGGTAACAAGCTCAACATGAGCATCTATTTGAGATAGGTGACACTCTGGCTCTTCTGAGAAAATGCAGGATTGCAGGTGAAAACAGGCAAATCAGAATGGCAGACGTAAAGACGCCAGTTAGACAGGGACACCTCCAAAAAATGAGACATTTTTCCAGAGCCTACTGTTTCACGATGCAGCCAAAAAGCAAACACTCTTTCAATAAATTCCCCAACAGGATCCAGACTCATACCATCTGTCCAGCATACATTCATTTCAGACAGACAAGCAGACTTTTATTTTTTCTGTCTGCTTGCTTCTGTCTTGTCATGTGCCGATTAGCTCTCTTTGCCAATTTACAGTTCATCTGGGTTTGGGCTGCCTGGTTGGACAGAAGAGGTTGTATAATGGAATAGGTTGTCAAGGGTGGTCTGTGTCATGGTAGAGGTTTGGTCTGGAGAATGGAGAGAGGCGGGAAGCAGGTGGGATTGAGGAGTGGTGGACAGAGAGGGTAGTCATTGTGTTGAATACATTAACAGAGAGAGCGGTCATCAGATGACCTACAACCACAACCTCACCCTCTGACCCTGAAGCAGGCAATCACTTAAGTGAGCTCCACAAACCTCTCTATCCTCTTCCAAAAATGTCCAATTGAGTTTACCAAGTCATTTATGTCATGGTTTCTTCACCTTCTTGATAGATGAGGAACTCGAAGCAGATTCTCTGCGTTTGCGCTGTGAAAAGAGAGGAAAACAAGTTGAAATAGAATTTTATGAAAGATTTTAGTTTCATTTTAAATCACATTTATCAATTCAATAAAAAATTATGCTTTTATAATTTTGAAAAAAAAGGTATGCTTTAAATCAATACATCAGTAGACAATGTATAATCAAAAACGATTATGTAAAAATACAAATGAAAATAAATTTAAAAACAATTGAATTTGGGTTTCAAATATTCAAATAAATATTTCTAATGTTTAAAAGGAGATCAAATTGCACGATGATGCCTGCTGAGGTCTATCACTAAAGTAGTTCTATTATCAAACCAATAATTTCATGCCATGGTAATTTACAGATACGAACTTCCCTCTGAAAACTCACCGAATTTGGAGTGAGTGGAGCTCCAACCACATCAATAATCTGCTCTTTGGCTTCGGTTTTGATGTCATCGGCGCCGGGCCAAGATTGACTGTCAGGTGCTCCACCGCTCTCGCTCTGTGGTGTGACGGCGCTCCCTGTTTTTAGCAGAGCGTCATAGCGGTGCCGCAACATCTGCTGTTCGTACTCACAGTTACTGTAGGCCTGCTTCAACTCATAAACCAGGACCAGGTCGCTGCGAAGTTCATTAAACATCTGCACAATCTCCTCTGTGGGCATGGGGTTGAGGTCTGTCGAGGAAAGAAAAAAGGGGATATGTTATGAGATGTTCAGAGCAAATTCTGTGTTTAGAACTTGTAGTTTATCTTTTTTGTTTGCAAGAATTGATTTTAGAAGGTTTAGATGAAGAACACTATACCTGGGTAAAGAATTTCTCCTTTCACAATCCCAATACTGATTCTAAAAATTCCATGATCAATCTTTCATTTTATTCTATGCAGGTGTTTTCTGCACCATGGTAAAATAAGTCATATTTTACCTGAGTTTAAAGTCTGAACTGAATGTTATAAGATAAAAGGGCACTGTACTGGATAATGGAACAAAAATATAAATAAAAACATTTTTTTTCAGTAAATATTTATATAAATATATGTTTCTATTGATTTGTCCCAAGAGGCTGCATGCAATAGCATACAGCATGAGCATTGTAGTCCAAGTCACAAATGATACTTTTAAAAGTTATTTTAAGTGAAACAAAGCTCAAACATTGCAATCCATTTCACAAGTAAATAACTGCTTTGAGCCTGTCCATATAATGCTCATCATTCTTTAAAAAAATCATTAATAAACCCCATTCAAAAGTCTCAATATCTATACTATTTAATGTGTTTTCAGCAATTTAGCATAAAAAAAAAACTTAATACAATGTTATATAATTTTTTTATACAAGAAATCCAAATGCAAGAAAAGAAAATTTCATCATATGCAAGCAAAATCAATATTTTAACAGAATTTTTTCTAAATTAATCACTTTAATTATTGATTTGTCCCAAGAGGCTGCATGCAATAGCATACAGCATGAGCATTGTAGTCCAAGTCACAAATGATACTTTTAAAAGTTATTTTAAGTGAAACAAAGCTCAAACATTGCAATCCATTTCACAAGTAAATAACTGCTTTGAGCCTGTCCATATAATGCTCATCATTCTTTAAAAAAATCATTAATAAACCCCATTCAAAAGTCTCAATATCTATACTATTTAATGTGTTTTCAGCAATTTAGCATAAAAAAAAAAACTTAATACAATGTTATATAATTTTTTTATACAAGAAATCCAAATGCAAGAAAAGAAAATTTCATCATATGCAAGCAAAATCAATATTTTAACAGAATTTTTTCTAAATTAATCACTTTAATTATAATTGAAATCATTAAACCTCTTTATTACCGTTCAGTAGAACCATATGACAGGTAGGAAGTCAGAAGACAGAAGGAATGCTTATAAAAATACTACTCACCCACTCCTTGCTCCGTCAGGATCTGTTCAATTGCTTTTATTTTCTTCTGACCAACTGAGCTGGGCAGCTTCATCTATGCACACAAATTCATTAGTTAACAAAATCTACAAATAAACTTTCAGTAAACTTAAGTTGTCCTTGTGTCTTAATCCACGAGGTGTTGGAACTCTAGCTGGAACATTAACACCTTTAATCTCAGATGGCTACATGGTAGAAAAACGTGGGAGCAATGGAATAAAAATGGGGTCATCCTTCATTCATAATACCCCTGAAATGCACTTCAGAGAGGGCAGATCAAAACATGTTTATCCACCCAAGTCTGACTAACAGATGACCAGCCATATCTGAGTCATACACTACCCCAGTACCATCCTTAATGTGTTTTATATAGAGCGACCTCCCTTCATTACTCTTTAAGAGAAATGCCTTCCTGTGCGTAGATTACTCTACCTATGACTGTGTGAATCAATCAACTCCTGGCTAATGAGAGAGAAGTTAAACGCCACAGGCCCCTGCAGCGAAAAGGGATGTATCATAATATTCTGCATAGATCGTATATTAAGAAACGGATCAGGGGTCAGTTTTATCGAAGCGTGTAAGTTGATCTTACTCTCTGACTCCGTAGTGAAACACCAGCAGATTTGAAGTCTGGGAATTTGATGCCTGCGGTTTCAGGAACAGCCTGCCATTGGACAGATGAGGGGGCATTAGAGGAGCAAGTGCTAGAAAGTATTAAAGTTCACAGATTTTTTTTTCACATTTTGCAAAGAAAGTGTAAAATTAGAATGATCGCTATTGAAAATACAATTTGTTTCCCCATCAATTTTCTAATTACTAATCACAGAAAGGTTAAAAATTGAATTTAGACAGTTTGAGGTGTAAATAAAGACATAATTACAGGTTTTTCCGTCTCTCGTTTCTGCGGCAGCTTCTTCTTGGTGGCTTTACGTTCAGCTCTGCGCATCTCTGTCGTCGTGTCAGCTGCTGTAATGAGCTTCTGGAGGTCCTGGGTCTTCTTTTCACGCTCCTTCTTACGTGTCTCAATCTTCCTCAGCTCCTGGATCAGGTATTCCTCTTCTGCCACCTACAGGAAGGAAAAGGAAGCACATTGTTTAAATGAGATCAAGCTTGTCCCCATCAGATATAACAAACTTACAACAGTATCTCCACTGTGTCCCATTAATTACCAGCATTATTTACAGAAACTGCAGTTTTCCACCAAGATAAATGCAAAATAAAGAAATTGTCAAGCGAAGACCATTTTCCTGCTGAAAAGAAAAATAACATTTTTATTTACAGTTATTTTACAATACAGTTGTATTACAATACTAATATATTTGTGTTAAGGGATGATAATAATAATACTAACATTATTATAATCTAATCGACATTGAAAATTGGTGGGAGCTCACAAAGTGCACCAGATTGACGGATTTAAATTTAAAATGCATCAAATGTTACAACATCATGTGTAAAAATGTAAAACCACTGCATCACTGTTGCAATAATTGTTATGTAGAATGAAAAAGACCAGTCTTGGTCTCACCTGCTCTGGAGTGCGGTTGAAAAGTCTCTCGAGCTGCTCTTTCCTGCGTCTCTCATGACCAGCATCAAATATGTAGATCTTAGGTTCTGTCCCTGTTCCTGCCCGAACTTTTGTCAGTTTGCCACAAATGCTGTAATAACGCTCCTTAAGATCCTCCACAGAACGCTTCTAAAATAATATCAATGAATCAGTGAAAAAATTTGATTAGAAGGAAGTAAACTGTAAAAAAAATTTCAGTCAAGTTACTTTGTTCAATACAATGCTGAATCATGATGAGGAACTTACTCTATACTGCTGGTGATCATAGCGATCATGGATAACAATAAATCGCAGGTCGAAACGTTTGCACAAGTCAAACAGGTGATCTGTTTCAGCTTTCGTCCATCCATCGTCATGAAGATACATCTGATACTCCTGCTCTGAGTACGCAGGCACCTGCACAGTCTTGAAACAGGAATAATATTTTTAGTAACATGCGATTACATGAATTTCAATTTCAAAACAAGAATAATACACAACCTCTTCTCTCCTCGACCGATGCCATTTTTTCTTTTCTCCTACTCTGTTCAGTATGACCCTCTCTTTCCTACCTTGTTGAAGCGAGCAAATGGGTAGTCCTTTCCTTCCTCTGCTGCACGTCTCCAGTGATGGAAGATGGCTCCATCTTTTCTGGCTGGATTGGAAAAGGGCATCCACTTCCAGGGCCGCACCTTCTTACAGCCCAGTTTTGCTTTCACTGTCCGGTAGCCTTGCGTAGTATCACTTGGTAACAGGGGAGGGGCATCCCGACTGAACGAAGCAAAAGCATGCAAAAGTTAATTATATGCTGTCACTTTTCAGTGTAACAACATCAGCGTCCAAAGGCAGCATACAGGGCTCAACATTAAACGTTTTTTGTTTATGCTGTATTGGTCAAACCAATAGCTAAAATGTTTACGTCCACCTCACACAATATAGCCTACATTATTTTTTAGCAAGATATTTTTATGTGCAGGTGAAGATATATATATTGTATCACACACACTATTGTTCAAAACTTTGGGGTCAGTAAGTATTTTTTGAACAAATTTATATTTTTATACAGCAAGGATGCATTAAATTGGTCAAATGTGACAGTAAATACATTTATAATGTTAGAAAAAAAAGTATATTTCAAATGAATGCTGTTTTTTTAAGCTTTTACTCAAAGAATTCTGAAAAAAAATAAATAAGAAATGTATCCTGAGCACCAAATCATCATATTAGAACGATTTATAATGGATCATGTGAAACTGAAGACTGAAGTAATGGCTGCTGAAAATTCAGCTTTGCCATCACAGTAATAATTACATTTTAAGTTATATTAAAATTGAAACAAAAAAAAGTTACTTTAAATTATGATAATATTTCACAATATTACTGTCCTGTAATGTATTTCTGATCAAACAAATGCAGCCTTGGAGTATAACAAGCATAACTTTTGAATAGTAGTGTATATTAAGTATGCTACAAAAAATATATTTATTTGATTTTCCATTTACAAGAGCTGGGAATTATACAGCTATAATAAAATCTCATGAGAGCTATGTACTCATACAACCCTATATGCTGTACAGCTAATACAACAAAACGTTACTCTTTTTTTCTAGTCATTTTACTCATTTCAAAGAATGATCGATTCAAACAGCAAAATTATCTGCTGTTAGTCATGGGAATCAGTTTTTAGAAGGCAATGCAAATACGTAATAATAATATGGGCAATAAGGCAGTGAGGTAAAAAGGCTGAGCAGAGAAAGCCAACTTACTTTTTGTCTGAATACAGCAAGGCATAAACTTCTCTGTGCATTCCTTCTGGTCTCTTGAACGTTAATGTCTCTGTCACTTTCTTGGCTTTTTTCTACAACAAACAGAATGAACATAGTCTCAATAATACAAAGCTAAAACATGTCACAAATATAAAACCCATTTTAAAGCTCCATCTATAGTCAAAAGTGCAGTGGTGTTGGCTCTCCTCTGTGCCAGGTTACCTTGTCTGAGTTGATGATGTCCTTCTTGCTGATGGGACCTGAATCGTCTCCTCCTGCCAGCTCCAGAATATCCCTCACATCAGCACCGGTCGCCATGGTGAGGGACTAATAGTTTAGACAAAATGATAAGCAAAGAGGTGCACTATAATATACATATACAATGAAGTGTTCGGTTTGCTTTTGAAAATAAGAATTGTCTTAGTTATATGAACCGTTTTCTGAACTACATCTGACAGTCGTTACCCCCTAACAAAGAAAATACATCAGTGTTTAAGGTTCAGATTGGTCTGCTGGGTCTGTTTGAGGAAGTAGAAGATAAAGAGATAAGCCATAGCTAATAAACGAAGCGCTAATGAACTCGAATCTCGGAATCAATGGGCTTACATGCTATCTGACAGGCGGGAACCGTATTGAGCGTATATAGTATTTCTAGAACTGCATTTATGAACTGTAATGGTATTAAAAGTAACGTTTGATCTCACCTGACAAAAATACGGGTAGCCTGTGTATCTAAAATGTACGCTTGTCTTTATTTACGGGACAGTGATAACTGAAATGATATATTCAACGGCGGATGCTCATCTCCTCTTCGATGGTCAGCTTCTTCTTCTTCTTCTGGTGTTAATGGCGGTTGGCAAACTAGCTTAAATGATGCATTCCCGCCACCTACTGGATAGGAGTGTGGAGCGCATAATGATTGGAAGTTTGAGAACTGTAGCCAAAAAAATTAATTATAAAAAAAAAAACTCCTGTAACCCCTCCCCCCACCAATAATTAATTCATTAAATATTCTTGATTGCTTTGGGCCATTTCCTAACAGAACCTGAAGTGACAAATGATTTATTCCGAATGATCCTAAAGCTTGAATTAGTTGAAATCTTGCTCCTTCATATGCATCACACTCTATAAGTACATCTTCTACTGATTCTGCATGACCACATTTGTCACAATTTCCAGTTTCATGCTTCCCCATTCTATACAGACACTGATTTAACGAACAATGTCCAATACGCATTCTTGACATTAAAACGTCTTCTTTCCTGTTGCCAAACTTTCTTCTTTCTTGACCTACTTTCTCTTGAATATGATGAAAGTGTCTACCTTTTGTTCCACTATCCCACTCCTTCTGCCATTTCTTTCTTATTT